GTGGCTCAGCAGTTAAGAGCACTGACTGCTCTTGCAGAGGACCTGGGTTCGATTCCCAGCACCCACATGGCAGCTACAAACTGTCCTTAACACCAGTTCCAGGGGAATCCGAAGCCCTCTTCTGATCTCCGCGGCATTGCACGACACGGGCGCACTCACTTACATGCAGGCAATACACTCATACACATAAAATAAAAATAAATATATTTAATAAAATATATTTAAATAAAAATATTTAATAAAAATTTTTTTTAAAAGCATTTTAAAAGCATTGGGAGACTAGAATCTGGGTCTAGCATGGCATGGGTTTTTTGACTTGACTCAGTTCTTGCTCTAGGCCCACACTTGGCCCCAGGCCCCACAGGTTTAGGGATGACCCCAGTCCACAGCTCACTGGGCATAAGACTCTCCCTCCACTATGCTTCTGTCAGTTGCATCTCTAAAAGTAAAAAGAAAGTGCACCCACTTGGGAACGTGTCACAGTGCTAGGCAACTAGAAAGGGTGGCTCCTTCAAATCATTTACAAGACATTAATATTCAGCTGGCTGGAAAAGCTAATCTCGTGGTCAGATCCCGCCTCCAGGCACCAAGGCTTCAACAGGATTCAATAGGCATTTCCCAGGGGCTTCTGAATAGAGACTTAGGCCCTCTTTATGTAAAGGCTGGCCTTTAAAAAAAAAAGTCAAGAATTTATATGATTAAGGGGAAAAGTTCAGCCCTTTGCCTTTTAAGGCTCACATTGTGGGCCAAAGGAAAGAGATGCTACATTGTGTCCACTAAGCACAACTTGGAAATTCTGCCTGGGTTTTCTGCATTGATTCAGATTTCTTCCTTTACTAGGTCAAGTCAGACCTTCCATGCTAATGTAAGAGATGGATTCTGTATCAGAATCTACCAAGTTCTCATTAAAGCCTGCTCTTCAGAGTCTGCCAGTCAAAAAGGCCTTTGGTTTTCATAGACGCCTAAGATATTTTTGATGGTGAATAAATCCAGTTTAAAATTAAGAAAAATATTTTCTATTTTAAATGTTGACTGATTTTTTTTTTAAAAAACAGCTTTTAAAATAAAGGCAAATGGTCATTTAGTGAACCTGAGTACCAATAACTTTGCATAGAATGCATGTATCTGGTAAAACAGTCTAACGAAATAGAGATAAGTAACAATTTCATAGGGCTTGGAAGGCAGAAAATCTGTAGTTAGAAGTCTAATTTTTGGAGAATTTACACTGCAGACATGATAAAAATATACAAAACAGAATTTTCAATTAACAGATAAAATTTCTAAAATAAAACAAAGTAGTTTGGGGGAGAGGAATGTGACTTAATGGTAAAGGACTTGCCTAGCATACATAAAGTCCTAGATTTAATCCCCAGCACTGCAAGTAAGTAAGTAAGTAAAAAGCAGGTTTGAACAATGCTGTAAGGGGTCTAAAGCATAGGAAGATGATAGATGAGTTTTATATTTCCTTAAGCTCATTTGCACTAAAACAAAAGAAGTATAAACTATTAATTAGTGTCAGGCATAAGTCAAAATATAAACATGGCAAGTAAAAGTTCCAAATAAGGGGAGAGATGGTTCAGCAGTTAAGAGCACTTGCTGCTCTTGCAGAGGACCTGAGTTTGGTTCCCAGCACCCATGTCAGGTGGCTCACAACTACCTGTAACTCTAGCTTCAGGAAATCTAGCACCCTCTTCTGGCCTCTGCAAGCACCCACACATGCTTGGCATAGACACACACACACACACACACACACACACACACACTATGAAAAAAACAGATTATGAATCTTTAAAAATTCTAAATTTTTTGGAACTTCAAAAGTTCCAAATAAGCCCATATGTAAAAGCAAGCAGCATAAATCATTTTAGCTTAACACAACAACTGGAGTAGGAAATTACCCCTCCCCCTTCTCTCTCTAAGTCTAACTCTTACTCTGTAGCCTGTAGCCCAGGCTGGCCTCAAACTCATGACTATCTACCTGTCTCATCGTCCTGAGTGCTGAGATTACAGGCAGGAGCCACCAAGTCCAGCCAAAATTGCAGTTTCTATGAGAACATCCCACAGTTGGTGTATTTTCCCAGAAACAAAACAAAACAGCACCTGGAGAAAGTAATTTGGAAGGCCGCGCTCACTGGAAAGTGATGACCTGTGACTGGAACAACGAATGCCATGTTATAAGTTCAGCTCCCCTAGGTGGTCAAGAAGAGCATCTGGGACTCAGCGGCACGGCAGTGGGGTGATGCAAATCAGGCTTACAGGGTCAGGCATACTTCAGGCTCACAAACCCTAAGAGAGGACTTACAATACCCTTCTCACTATAGAAACCTGGAAAATATTAAAAATTCACCTGAAATCCTTCTTTCTTTCCTTTCTTTAACCACATGTGATAGAACATAATATAATCAAACATTTATTGTTAAATGTCCAGCTGGCTTGTAGAGAAAAGCTATAAAGGCTGCTTCCCCCTCAGATAGTTTAGAAAGAGAAGATCTTACCCTCCCATTGAAACCCCTGCCGCCAGGAAAGGAGCAGAAGGGTACAAGCTGTGGATGTGATGGATAACCGTCTCCAAGTCTTCAGTGTTCGCACAACAGTAAGTCCTTGGTGTCTGGACAAGAATAACATTATTGTTATTAAACTGTGAGGTAAATGGTCCATACAATGTAGAAATGGAAAAAAAAAAAAGAGCAAGAAATCACAAATAGGAAAGAGGACCTTGGTTTTCACATTACTAATAATATTTTCTATCTTCTAGTACCCATGTCTGTCATTTAAAATCAACATGGTTTGGGTGGTATTAAGGAGATGACGGGGAACATGCAAGGAAGACTTGACACACATGGGACAGCCCAGTACAAACAGGTGCAATCAAACAGGTGCAAATGTGTTTCCACTTTAACAAGGGTCAGTTGAAGAGGAAACGTAGAGAATTACATTTTATGGAAAATAAAACGTATGTTCCCCCAAAATGCAAACTAATTCTTTATTAAAAATGAAGCAAGCAAGCAAAAAAGGCTTTCCAATGGTGTTATAAAAACGCTAAATCCTAGCTAGTTTCTAACCAGGGAACTGTTTTCTGCACTCCAAGTGCTGATAGCCCAATGAAGTGAGGTTTCCAGGCCCTGCCTTTACTCTAGATAAGGCAATATAGAACCTGACTTTAGAAATATTTACTTTTAGAATAATATATCTATTTAGCTCCAGGTATGCTTTAAAATATTAAATTATGTAAATCTCATTATGCCTCAATACATAATGCATTAAGACACATGGTGTTCATGCGAAATTCATCAGTAAGGCCTTTGTTTATAGCAAAAGAGCTGTACAGATGCATCACATGGGATCCAGGAGGAGGGAACAAGCTTCTAAAGAATATACATGAGCATGCACTTGAATGATGTATCTGTGAGAGCGAACAATCTGACATTTAACTGTAAGAAAGTTAAATCATTGAAACTAGTTATTCACCCTACCCCATTTTTAATATTCTAATAAATCATAATCATGCTAGGTAGCTTATACATTCAAGTACCAAGGAATAGTTACAGAAAATTACAATTTTCAACTATTCACTCAATTAGATTCATCTCTGAATCACTGCCTATTGCCTACTGTCATCTTTTTGAGATGCGTGAATATGAATTACCCGTAAGACAAATGTCATCTTGACAGAATTTATAATGGCTCAGGTGTACTGAATAATGAAAAGTGTGCCCACAGAAGCCTGAGAATTACTGTATCTATTTTATAAGTGAGGAAATGGAATTTAAAGGTTAATAGCTCCAAGAGCATTTTAATAGCTAGAAGTGATTAAGCTGAGCTACTTAAAAAATCTTTCTAATTAAATGCCCTTGAGGGGAAAAAAAACTGAACAAAAAGGCTAAAAAGAACAGTATCTCCTACCACATACACTTGTAGAGACTGAAGAGTTTGTCATGAGATTTTAAGTGAAGAAATCATTCCTACTCAGTATTTTTCATTCCGTGTGAGCCTACTCCCATACCACAGCTTTGTGCATTATTTTTGAAGAGTCTCAAACACAAACTGCTGTTATACAGGCTTTAAGTGATGCATACATGCCTATGTCCCTACATACATATGCATATAGTTAAGATATAGGAAGAAGGTGCTCACAGGATCTTAGTGCCAAGAAGGACCACTGATGTCGCCTATCTTTCCTTATTTACACATAAGTAAACTGAGACCCAGCAAAGTTGAGAAATTTGTAAAAGGTCACATAGCAACAGAACCTACATTGTGTACGTACAATAAGTAAAACAGTTCCTGAAAAGAACCAGGGTTCCACAAGAATTTGGCTACTCTGGGAGGAGGTTAATTTGCTAATCTGCAGTAGGAGCCAAAACTCAAAATCCTTTCCTCTCAGGGCTGGAATTACCACACATCCAATATTGAATCAAGCCATCTAAAATTGTAGTTTTCTGTCACGTAGAATGAAAACTGAACAGGAAACATGTATGCCTTAAAAATCATTTAAATTTCATATGTATTTTATTGTAATGTCTGATAAGCATCAGGAAGTTAGGATATTTACTTTTATAGTCTTCTCTCAAGTACTACTGATCTGTATACAATTATGGTGGTGTTGTTTAAACTTTTTTTGCTATTTAAACATTTATATTATTTATTTATTTATTTATTTATGTATTTATTACCTATATGAATGTATAGCCTGCACGTAGGTATGTGCACCCAAGTTGTACAGTGCCTGAAGAGGTCAGAAGAGGGCATCCGAGTCCCTAGAACTGGAGTTACAGAAGGTTGTTAGCTGCTGTGTGGGTGCTGGGTCCCATGTAAGAGCAGCCAATGCTCTTAACTGCTGGGCCATTTCTAGCCCCTAGTGGTGCTACTTAAAGTAACCCCCACTGGGTTGGAATGATTGTTCAGTGGTTAAGAGCACTGATTGCTCTTGCAGAGGACCTGATTTGACTCCCAGCACCCATATGGCAGCTAATAACTGTTCAAAACGCCAGTTCCAGGAGATCTGACACCCTCTTCTGGCCTCTGTGGGCACTGAACGCATATGGTGTACTTATTTACATGTAAGCAAAACACTCATAAAATAAAAAAAAATTTTAAAGTAGCCCTGTAACTCTTATGCGGATATGCTCACCAAAAGGAGTATTTTTTTTTTTTTTTCGATCTTTTTGAAACAGGGTATCTATCCCTGCAAACCCAGCTCACTACGTAGACCAGGCTGGCCTTGAATTCACAGAGATGTGCTTGCCTCTGCCTCCTGAGTGCTGGGATTAAAGGTGTGTGCCACCATGTCTGGCCCAAAAGGAGTATTTTTATAATAAGTCTACTGTTCTTCCATCAATTACTATAGTGTGGTTTGTTTTTATTATACCCATTCCCTGTCCAGTGCCTAATGAACTGCTCAAATTGTTCCTAGGGAAACTGATCTTAGCTTTGGACCAAATAAGGAATCAGAGAGGAAAAAGTGGGTATACACCGATAACATCAGCAATTTAACGTACAACCATTTCTCTTGGTCATTTATAGACTTTAGGAGAGGAAGTGCTAGGCCTAAGCACAGGCTGCACTAGAGAACACAGCTTCTGCCTTGAGAGCACAGCCCACGCTTCCACAAAAGAGCCAACCTAACCTGTCCCCTGACTGAGACTGATGACGAGAGCGGCCTGGATGAGGGTATCTACCAGGGAGTGACACACCAGCTTATGGGACACTGGGGGCAGGGGGAGAGATATATAAGGCCTGCCCTTTCCAGCAATAAACGAGTCTGCAGCACCTCGCCTAGTGCCTGCTTCCACCCGACTCCTGGTGTCTGTGTGTTGACTCTGCACCGCTCACCCCCACCTCGGCTAGAACCCTCATTCCCTGCAGTCCCTCGTGGGCTGGACCCGCGAGGAAACCTGCAACAATAGACATATAAAATGACCAAGTTTCAAAATCGGTCTGAGAACTTGCTAATTTTTAAAAATAGTCATGAAACAAAGGGCTCTGGGAAATACCTTGGTTAACCATGAGACCAGGATGACCTGTGTGCGTTTCTGCTAATGTTCCAGATGGCTGCAGTCCATTCTTCTGCAGTTGTGTGTATAAGGCAGTTATGTGTGCAGGAGCAATTAATAGTTTAGAGCAGGTTAGCCCACCAGCCATATCTTTTCAGTCCTGCATCTTAAGAGGTACATCTCATGGCTGGGTTTGGAGCCACCTGTAATCCTGGGTTGGGAAGACTGGCACATGCATAATGTATTCCACTCACTGAAGAATGTTCAAAACAAAACAAAACAAACAAAAAAACAATTACAGATACCAGACTCCATCCTCGACCAAAAGAATCAGTACTGGGGAGGGAGGGTAGAGCTCATGACTCAGGATGTTTCAAAGCTTCCCAGAGGATCTCAGTGTGCAGCCAGGGTTTATGAACCTCTGCTCTAAGCAGGCAGAAACAGTGAGGGCTGAGCCAAGAGTGGAAGGGGACCACAGTGACAGGAATGAGAAATCCTACGCAGAGTGACTTAGGTGAAGGCATATCTAGCTGGCAGATATCTCTGGGGTGAATCTCTGAGATTCCATGTAGTACTGGGGAAGCATTCCTAAACATCTCAGACCTCACAGGATCACCTGGCTTGGACTAAATATTTGGTAAGTAGTAGTCAAATGATTATTATTTCTAAAACTTCTCAATCATTTAAGTATTTTTCTGAAGGAACACGTTTGACCCAGGGGTACTGCCTCTGTGCTCCCTGCTCCTGCACCCTCAGGCCATAAAGGAGGTCCTTAATCCTTTCTGAAAGCCTCCTTCAGATTCTGCACAGGAAAGGAAAGCTCTAAGTCCTTCATACCCCACTGGCCTCCATGGAAAAGCTCTGTAATCAAGAACTGATTTCTCTGGATCTGAGTCCTTAACCACCCAAGGCTTCCAAGGTAGAGGGAGGCACAGTGCTCTGAGAACATGGTTTACTGCTCCCAGGCTTCAGCCTGACTTGACTGAGAGCCAAGAGTGAAAGGTCAAGACTCTGAGTTCCTGCCCTAAGGCTACCAATCAGCCTTCCAATCTGCCATCAGTCCCACTTCCCTAGTGGTATCCTGTCTATAGAATGAAGCTTTAGAGGACTTGAGGACCTCTGGATCAGAGCCATTCAAAGAGTCCGTCTAGGATGAGAGAGGGGGCTAGCCTGTGAATATAAGTCTGTATGCTGTTTCTACGGGTAAGAAACTATGGCTTTGAGGGGCCAGGGATGGGGGCAGGGTCACCTAACTTAAACAGTGTGCAGTAACTTGAGTTTTTCCTATTACTTACAAAATTAATTTGGGGGTGGAGTCTTGCAAAGGACCCAGGAAGCTAACAACCATCTGTAACTCCAATTCCAGGGGATCCGATGCCCTCCCTGACCACCACAGGCACTGTATACATGTGGTGCACTTAATTACATGCAGACAAAACACTCATACACATTAAAAAAAAAAATCAGTCAGGTGTGGTGGCACATATCTTTAATTCCAGCACTTGGGAGGCAGAGGCAGGTGGATCTCTGAGTTCAAGGTCAGCCTGGTCTACATGGCAAGTTCTAGGCCAGCTGGGGCTATAGCCAAGACTTGTCTCAAAAAGAGTAAAATAAA